TTGTTTTAAAAACTATCAGCCATATCTAGATTATATTATTTCGGGATCGTGTGTCCCATTCAGCAGATCGTGTGTGTGTGTGTGTGTGTGTGTCCTGTGTGGCTTCGTTTTGTAGATATCGTTGGGATCAGGTTTGGTAAGTAAGTCCCATGATTGTCGGGTGTGTGTGTGTGTGTTCGATGTGTGTGTGTCGTGTGGTCCCGTACCGTGTGTTGTGTGTGTGTGTGTGACTGTGAAGTTCTTGTCCCAGCGTTTAGTGTTGCCGGTGTCCTAGAGAAGGTTTCAGAGAGCGTCGTTAACACCAAGAAAGCTCTTCCCGACAAAGTACTGGGTGTGGGACTCCCGGACAGGAGATTCTTTTCCTGATGACATATGCAGCCAGTGAATCCTCAAATATGATACGCCAGAGCTTATCATCCACCATTGACCAACCCTTATCCTGGTAGGACGAAACTACAAATAATGCATAAATGGCCGATAGAAGCAACGACTTCACAAAAAAAAGTCGAATCATTGACTTATATGGCGTGATCAAGGTATACATATTCATATATAAATCATTCTTGGGCGTGAGAGAGCTAAGTAATTTACATTATCATGTGGCTCGTTTCCTAAATTTTTAAGATACTCGGGTAAGAGTTATTCATTTTAATATCTTACGTTATTTTTAGGTGGACGGAGCGGTCCCTAATTAAAACATAACACGTGTATTAGTATAAGTTAATATGTTTCATATAATATTTCCATTTTCGGCTCCAATTTCATATGCTAGAGTTCTATACTTCCGTGCATTCTCTATCTATAAAAATGCTTACACACTGGTCCTGTTAGTATTTTTTTTTGTTAGATTTTTTTTGTTCATCCTCCTATTACCATTGTATCAGCTTTTGTTATGCTGGCGAGTAGACGACTCATTGGAGATTTTCCCCCCATTGTGGGAGCTATTAAACACATAACGAAGGAGATAATACCGGTATTCTTATGACACAGTATCTTTTAAATATTTTATCTGTAAATGTGAGCAGATGAAAAGACAAGATAAGATATGAGCAACTGATATGGAGCCAGTAGAGGTGAGAGAGAGCGAACTAATGAGAGACTATGCTGAAAATTAATAGTATATCCTCTTCTGTGTGCGAGTGTATTTCTGTCTTATTGTTAAATCTTATCTTGTGGGGGTTAAGTGTTGGTGGATATTATCACCATGTTTTTACAGTTTACATTGCGTAGTATACATGAACCATGGTGGTTTACCCATACCAGGCAGAAAAGCTGAGCAGGCAACCTTGAGGGAGCATTCAAGTTGGGGGGTTCAATCAGCAATGCTCACATGGTCTCTCTTTAACATGAAACGAGAAATACATCAGAAATATTTGGCACAATTATCATAGACAATTTTGTGTATTCTACATGTCACCGGAGGTCCAAGGACAGAGCGAGAGTTAACTGCACAGCATATTTGACGTACATGAATCTTCTGCTCAAGGGGCAGCTTGTAAATCAGCTATGGGTTTGTATAACAGCACGAGAGAGAAATGTTTGTGCCAGCTGGGATCATTGAAAAAGCGCGTCCATGTGTCTGTGATCCTGCTTTAGAGTAATTATGTTGCATTGTTATTTTTGAATTTCCTGTGCAGGTTCGTTTAAAGCCTGCGGGTGCAAGCCTTGCCTCAGTATAGTTGTTAATAATGAGTTTTTCTCATTTATTAAATGTTTGTAAATGACTGGCATTGAATAGTGTTAGGATGTCAAATCCTGCACATTGTGATTGGTTCTCCTAGTAGTTGTCCACATCCCGTCAAATCCTCTCGTTTGTCATCTCACATGTAATCTCTTCTCTCCCCTCAATTTGAACCATAAAGTATCATGTAACCTAAACATGTTTTAAGCTATATTATAAACTACATCCTAACTTTGTTTTACATTCTCGGCCACACAACACCAGCCCATCTCATCTGTTCTCGTCACTTTCTCTCATTTGGCGCGCTGCTCCGCGACTGGTGGTGGATGTGGAAGCTGGGCAGCAGTGGCAAGAGGGTATAGCGTATGGGGCCCATGGGTGGGAAGTGGGCACAGTGTGCAGACACAGGTGGACCTAGCGTGTCAGATAATATATGTGTGTACTGTTCTAGCCTCTCTTAACACAAATACACATATTGCCATCAGCTGGCCTTTAGCTCACAGCCCTGTGTGCAGAGGGGGAGTGTGGGCAGAAACCAGCAGCCAGGGAAGGTGTGTGTGTGTGTGTGTGTGTGTGTGTGTGGTGTGTGTGTGTGTGTGTGTGTGTTGTGCGTGCAGGGGAGGCCCCCAGTGGAGGTGGGGGTAAACAACCAGTTGAGAAAAGGAAAAGGGGCCAAACACCAGGGGAAGCCCTTCTGTTACCATTGCTGTGGCCAGACGTGCCCCTGTACACAAACACACACAACAAATACGCACAATCCACCCACAACTTAGAGAGTCGTCAACTTCAGCATATGAAACGTTAGTACTGAACAAAAACATGACTGGAAAAAATACCAACATGATGTTTATACTATTAAAAATGGTGGTCAAGAATAACTCCAAGTTAAGATTTGTTTGTGGATGAGATATTAATACATATGAACACAAGTCTACCACCCTGCTAGTGGCTCTGTGAGGCTGCACTTAGTGCTTTGTGCTGCTGCTGATGTTTAACAGGTTTTATGTTTACCATGTTCACGATCTTAGTTTAGCATGTTAGCGCAGAGCACAGCTGAGGCTGATGGGAATGTCATTAGTTCTGCAGGTATTTGTCATAAAACTAAGTATTCGACAAATTAGAATTTTGATCTGAAGTTTTTACAGTTATTTCTGAGTGGGACGAATGTCTGCACCAAATTTACAAGGGCAGTCCATTGTTGAGACATTTCACTCAAAACCACGAATGTCAACCTCATGGCAGCACTAGAGGAAGAAGCAGAGGGTCAACAAAGTCATTAGGTCCGGGAAACATAAATTAATGCTAAATTGTGTGCTAGTCCATCAAGTAGATGTCGAGATATTTCACAGGATAAGAGGAAACGTTGACCTGCTGGTGGCGCTAGAGGAGATGCCAGATGATCACCAAAATCATTAGGATTTATCATCTGGGCACCATGAATGTCTGTACAACATTTCACTGCAATACATCTAGTTTATTGTATATATTATTATATAGTTTAGTTTGGACAGTGTGGATGACAGTGGTGGACAAATTGACCAATAGACCAACATTGGCTGAAAATCCACTATGATGATAATCGCCTCTCTAAGGAGATCAAAGTCAGCCTCTCGTACAGAATAAGAGTCCATTTTGGACAGATACTTACCAACATAGTGGCTTGAACCTTTGTTCTCATGGGCAATGTTTCTTTGACAAGGACACACTGCTACTTGATAGAGGACCTCCTGTTCTACTATACCCTCTCTTAATGTCATCATTTTAATACATTGTTATATGTATGTATAAAAAAAAAGATATATATATATATATATATATTACCATACCTATATATATAATATATATATTTGTATGGTGCCACTTCCCCCTTTCGTATGCTGGAAGTGAGACAAAAGTTTGCGAGAATGCGTGTTTGAATGTGTTCATATTAATAATTATCTGTAGGGAAATGTAGCCACCTACTTGAAAGCACCTTCCAAAACTGCAATATTGGAATAATATATTATGACGTAGATAATAATGTAAGAATTGTAAAAATGCATACTAGTCAGTAGAACATATTCATCTTTTTCATAGGATGTGTACTATATGATCCAATACACAGATTCTTGGGTTCATAAAGTTTCATTTGAGTTATTCTCTATATGACCTCCATATCAAAGGGACTTGGATAAACAGTGAGCTTATAATCAGTGCACTAGTCTATTTTCTGGGTTCCCTCAGGGCGTCATTATGCACAATCTTTGCAGTGGAAGAGTGAGTTTGTCCAGTCAGTTAGATCAGCTGTAGAGGAACACCATTTTAAGGTGGGATCCTCTAGGTATGTTTTGCTCATCGGTGCGTGATCTCACACACAAGTGCCCCACATGGTGTATATTAGTGAACTTCAGGCATGTCAGGTTTCCATGTGTATATATACAGTACACAGACAGGGAGAGAAGATGGTATGAAAATGTTTGGCAGAATGTGTGTAAGAATATTATATATTAATTAATAGTAAGAATGTGAGTGTACATTGGGTTTGACAAGTCTACAGCCAGGCAAGTGGCTCTGTGAAGCTGTACTTAGGCACAGCAGTGCTTCAAGCTAAATGCTAATGTCATCATAACAACAGTCTAACAGAATTACCAGTGTCATTAGAATGCATCCTCTTGGGGTGTTGCCCTGTAGCTCACCGGCAGCAGGTGCCCCATTTGTAAAGGCTGGGTCCTTACTGCAGCGGTCTGGGTTCTAACCTGCAGCCACTTTCCTGTCTCTCCTCAGCTACTTCTATCTAATAAAGGCAATAAAAGCCCCCCAAAAAAAGTTGTCCTCTGGGGATCATGAATATCTGTACAAAATTGCATGCCAACCTATCAAATAGTAATTTAGATATTTCAGTTTGGACTAATGTGGCAACACTTTCATCCCAAGAGCCATGCCGCTAGCATGCTTAAAAGAACAGGGACACACCTTACAGTGTCATGTAATCCTAATACTACAAAAATTACCATAGAGTAGACTCTGCAAAAGGTGTCCTATTTGGTTTCCTTTTTCTTTCCTTGCCTTTCTTGTACTTTCCTCTTCCGTTTTCTTGGTTTATTTCATTTCCTTCTCTTGTTTTCCTCCTCTAACTCCCCCATGTGCTACTTTTTAATAATTTCTTTGAAGAAAAACACAGATTATTTGTTTTTTTTTATTAGAAAATT